CGGGGGAAGGCAACCGACCGATGGAAACTCTCTCTCTCTCTCTCTCTCTCTCTCTCTCTCTCTCTCTCTCTCTCTCTCTCTCTTTCTCTCTCTCTCTCTCTCTCTCTCTCTCATTTTACTCCTTTGGAGATTGATGGAAGAATAGAGGGAAGGGTTAGGAGGAAAACACCAAGCAAAAACAAAGTGCACGTAAAACATACAAGCAGGGAAGCAGGGAGAGGAGAAAAGACCAAGAGACGGGTAGTAAGGAGGGACGGAGGAAGGAAAAAAGTTAGGAGAAGCTTGGGATGAGAAGTGGTCAGGGAAGATAAGAACGGCAAAAGAGGGGGAAAGAGAGAGAGAGAGAGAGAGAGAGCACGGAACACAGAGAGAGAGGCAGGGAAGGAGGAACAGCGCCGGAAAGGAACGAAGGCAACTAATTGGGAGGGGAAGCGAGAGAGGGAGAGAGTCAGAGCCAGGAGGAGGTGCTGATGGACCATAGGTGAGAGGGGAAGAGAATTTGATAGACAAGATGTTGAGTCCAACGCTTGCAAGAAGAGGCGGCCTACCTGGAAAGTGTTCAGCCATAGCGGCTGTAGAGAAGCATCCCAGTCGTTGCAGGTGCTCGTCATTCTTAATCCAACAGGTGATGGTGCTGACTGGTATAAGTCCGGCACCTTACAGATGAGGGTCTGGGGTGGATATAAGGAGGGATAACCATTGAAGAAGGGTCGACAAGAAGGAATGTGAAGCTTACCTGTTGGCTTCCCTGGCGGCCATAGCTACTTTCCAGAACTCCAACAGAGGAAGCTTACCTGTTGGCATATGCCAGGGGCGACCATAGCTACCTGAAGAAGAAGAAGAAGACTCCAAAAGGAGGAGAAAGATGCATGTCGGCTACCAGAATTCATTTCTCAAGACTTACACTCGGTTGCTACTTCGGCTCTACAGAGCGGAAGGCCAAGACGTGAAGGGATGAGAGGGAAGGTCACCATAGCTTCACTAGACTCCATGCTGTTTTAGAAGAAGACGGGCATTCTCATCATTTCAAGTTCCAGCGGTATTGAGACAGCCTTGGATAGACCTGCACTACCATCTTTTCCCAAATGGAGCGCAGCATCACTATAGCTGTATTTGAGGCAACCTTCAGTCTGTCTAGATACAGTGATAATGACCATACATTTTATTTGGCTGAAAACAATAGGGAGAGAGATTGGCTTGGAGAGTGACACTGTGCCTGGTTTGGCGGCGAAGGAGTGCAAAGAAAAGCTACGGGTGCCAGTCCATAGAGGACTACTATTGCATCAAGGTGGTGAGAGAGTTGTCCCTTGCAGAAGAAGAGGGAGGGAAAATCAACTTCTTCTTTTCTTCTTCTTCTTCTTTTTTCTTCTTCTTGGTGGTAGCCACGAAGTGGATCTGGGAAGAACGACCCTAAGGAGTGGCAGGTGCGCTTCCTGGTCAAGACACACGGGTAATGAGCGCGTTTACTCTGAGTGCAGTACGTGCAGAAGTGAAACGATTGTACTTTGGAAGCATGTACGAAGAGCAGTTTGCTGCTGTTTTATCACTCTTCTACTTCTCTTCTTCTTCTTCTTCTTCTTCTTCTTCTTCTTCTTCTTCTTCTTCTTCTTCATTTTCTTCTTCTTCTTCTTCTTCTTCTTCTTCTTCTTCTTCCTCACAGTAGGCTCCCTCTTCCCCCAAGCCTTGGACTCTTCATCCTAGCATGCTGCCTCTTTCGCGACAGATAGGACTAATTTCTGTAGTTCAGTTCGTTACAGTAGAGACCCTAACATCATCGAATGCTTTTGATACCATCAGGATTCAAACTGATGATCTGTTTACTAACAACAGTTTACATGTGTCTACCATTCATTTAGGGATATGGGCTGCATACATCATCTCCTCCTCAATGTCAGGCTCTTCCTCCTATTGACCACCACCCTCCTCCCCCTCCATTCTCCTACTCTCCCTTATCCACAAAAAAGAGACCTTGTAGCAGTCCCAAATTCCCAGGAATCAACTGGACTTCAGAAAACAGGGAAAAAAAAATGTTTCTGGAAAAAACAAAATCTTGTTCGTTCCGCCTGACTGGTTGGTGCTGTTACAGGCCCCACAAGGTTGGACAGCGGGAGAGTGGGTCAAGTGGAGCTGGGAAAACACACCGACCGTGGCGTTGTCATATGTCAAAAGAACCAGGCCGGCAGGAGATTGGGCACTCTGGACAATACATGAGATCGAGCAGCCAGGGGGAACAATCAGCACTGTCACCACGACAGTACGGGCTCAGGTCACAGCCAAGCCCACCCTCCGAAGGAAAGTTCGGGTAATGGAAGACGACACGTACAGGATCTACAGCCCGACAACACAGCTCCAGGACTTGGAATTAGACCCAGCAGAATGGGCCTGGAAGACGACCAGCACCACGACACAAACGAAATGGCGAACCAACATCTTGGACTATACTACACGGCTGGGCTATAGACTTACGAGGAGGGCGGTCAGCACTTGGGACATACTGACACAGAGGTGGGAGAAGCACCTTCCCGGAGTCCTCGGAGGGCAAACGGTGTCTTCCTGGCAGATCCCACTTGCCACCAGAAACACCCGCATCAGAACCATGCCATTGCTCATCTACTACCTCGCCCTGCCTGTCAACAAGTGGCTGAGCAAGAGACGGTCCGCGGCGACCAGGCAACACTTCGACAACGTCTGTGCAATCTGCAACATGGGAACCCCTGAGGACTTGGCTCGCTGCCACCAACACACGCAGCAGCTGTGGGCCAGGGTGGAGACGTTGTGGAGACCGGTCACCAACACACCATGGCCGGATGACCTGCTTGCTCACCTTACGGGCCTGACAGAGCCAACACTCCGACACAGGCAGCAGAAGACTCTCTACCGACGGCTTCGCCCACTCGCACTGGGGGATAATCTGGAAGGGAAGATGCAAAGAGACTATTGACGCCCAAAACATCCCAATAGCAGAAGTGTGCAACAGCCTTATCCAAGTGTCGAGCGTGGAATATCAAGATGGCTGGCAGAAAGCTCTCAAGCGCATACAGGAAGACCCCACCAAAACACAAGATCTTATAGACAAATTCAACAGTGATGCTCTCGGAGCAGGGAAATTGGGCAACACAGAGGGAGACTTCCCAGTATTTGTCTGGAAACTGGGAAGCAAACTCCCAGGCACGGACGCCTCTCAGGCGCCCGTCCACTCGCAGGAACTGGTTATCAACATAAACTCTGCATGAGAGGCATAATCTCACGAGCTTGGTGGGAAGGGGTTAGGCACAGAGAGCATAATCCGGTTTGGACGATACATGATCACGAAGCAGGGGTTTAGGGTTAAGTCCTACCACGGCAACGCAGCGGCGAGGCGAGGGGTTAGGGTTTAAGGAAGCACAAGAGCAACACAAGAGCGCCCCCACGGTAGTTAGGAGACTGTTTGCGGTCCGGTCCTTTGACCGAGCCAGAGGAACAGAAATCCACCCCCCTGGGTACCCGGGGGGGCAGGGCTGTCTGGCACTGACACTACCATCACGGGGTAAGCAGGGGTAGTAGTAAGGATATTCCAGAGAAAAGTTGAGCGTGAGGCTAACTTAGGCAGAGGTAAGAGGGGGTACAACCTTCCTGAGGCAAGTAATCAATGCCGCCCGCTTGGGCCTCTCAGCCATAATGAGGAGGCGCGTGTGCGAGTGTTACTTGTATTTTCTTGACTTACCGGCGGAATAGGAACCGCACTGCTTCAAAGGCGAAAAAATGCAAAACAAGGAAAGGAAAAGAAGGAAAGCCCCAGCTGTTCTGGATGACAGGTTGAGCGCTGGCTGCCACCATCCCCGTGTGTCACAAGGACCCACTTGCACGCTGCCAAAAGGCAAAGAGGTAAAGAAAAGGAGGAAACCAGTCCTCACAGAGGGAAGAGAAAGAGAAAGATCAAAGAAAAAACAAAGGAAGAAAGCAAATGACACATCCCACAGATAAACCAATTGCCACAATCAATACAAAGTTCAACATATTTTTCTCTTTTTTCCTTTTTTCTTGTTTTCCTTTTTCCCTTTTTCTTGTTTTCTTTTTTTTTTCTACAGAAATTTGTACTTTTTCTCTTTCTTTCTTTTATCTGTCCTACAATTAGTGTTGCTCCTGATCGCTTAATTCTATTGAACCAGTCAGGAAGAGGAGCGCCCACCCCGGCAGATAGGACCGGCACGCTGAGGATGACGTGGATCTTCACAAGGATACCCAAGGAGAGCTACTTCAGCACAGCATTCAGCAGGGCGGCTAGGACGGACCATCCCATCAAAACAGTCCTGACAAAGGACATGCTGTCCACATGTAAAAAAAAACAGCAGGACGTTCATCACAGTGCGGCATCATGCAGTCCTGATAGCGTCCTTGAGCACAAAAGGAACAGCGAATATCTGGGTGATAGGGATGTGTACAATGAGGAAATGTTGGACACCCTTCGGCACAGACGGCGGCGGCTGCAATAGATTGATAATGTTGATGGCATAGGTGATGAATTCGGCAGCCAAGACGCACCGCGTCTGAATTCGGCAGCCAAGACGCACCGCGTCCCTGTCCCGACAGGTGTCACACGAGAGTCTATTCAGGCTATTTTCAATATTAATGAATTTCTCTGTGCATTACCGAATCATACACCCGGGTCTGTGCAAAATACCATAGTACGGAGTGTGGGAGGAGACTTATGGGCCTTAAGTGCACAATAAAGATACGGCAATGTGTCAGCATGACGATAATTCCAATGATTGTTCAAAAGTGCATGGCTATTCAGAATGCCAGCCGCTGTTTCAGCGGGCTGAGAATACATAGGACTGTCAAAATGGGCAGAAATCTTAAAACAATACCAGTTTTTACAACAAATAGCCAGATTATGTGATGTTTTATCCAAAAAAAAATAAAAATGATATTTTATCCACAGGAACTATTGCAAAGGGGATTCATATATACAGTTCCTCACCCAGAATCAGCACCAAGAGTGTTACTGCATCCGCAGCTCGGCAAACGAATAGCATGAAAGGAGCATGCGCTCATTCACCGACAACAGCCGGCCCGTGATGAACGTAACAAGTGATATTTAAAACCTGTTGACCTTGTCGCACAGGAATCAATTGGACTTAAGAAAAAAAGAAAAAATGAACAAAAAATTCTGGTTCCTAACCCAGGATCAGCGGCAAGAGCGTTCACCGCGTCCGCAGCTCAGCAAATGGGTAAACACACATGCGCTCATTCAGTGACAGCAGCCAGTTCGTGGTGTACGTGACAAGAGACATTTATGGCCTTTCAATCATATCCGGTATCTTTCTGATCGTCTAGACAAGACTCCATCTGACGATTCGCCACCCAGACCTTTTCGGGGACAAACCATATGCAATTCCCGTTTCCCAAAATAGGAAACCTTGCATTTGCGTCGCTCTCTCGCACAGATGGATAAATCTCGACTCGTGGTTCCGAAGAACATCACGGCACCGATTAGATCCAACCTGCACAACTTCCAAAATGTAGGGCAGGTGCATCACATGCACATATAGGACTGGACATCTCAGCACAAATCACTGAGAGCCAGCACATCAAGCCCCAGCCCATGCCGTCACGTACGTACACATACATAGCCGCCTTTCGCAAGAACGAGCACAACAGCGGTATTATCCCTATATGCCTCGCAACGGACACTCACACCTTTTACAAACACCATCATTTCCTGGGCCACCAAATAATGCCAAATATGTATATACATATATCGTCACACGAATATCAGAGCGCAAAAGCAAAAAAAAAACAGAAGCAAGCAAAAAAGATTGATTTTTTGTCTTCTTCCTTACAACTCCCCCTGTTCAGAACTCTTGCGTACAAGGCCGCCCACGTGGATGTAGGTTGAGCGGCGGCTATCGTCAAA